GCTGCCGCCGCTCAGATGAGGACTACCTGTACCGTGAGGAGCTGGCCCAGTTCCACAAGGATGGCTCGCTCACCCAGCTCAACGTGGCCTTCTCCCGGGAGCAGCCCCATAAGGTGAGGAAGGTAGACATCAAGGGCGCAGGGCAGGGCACTGGCAGCTGGGCCCTCCCTCACCACACACCCTCCTGTGCCCACAGGTCTATGTCCAGCACTTACTGAAGAGGGACAAGGAGCACCTGTGGAAGCTGATCCACGACGGGGGCGCCCACATCTACGTGTGTGGGTAAGTGAGGGAGAGAAGGGGGACAAGGAGGTGGGGCAAGACCCTGCCCGCTCGCAGAGGTGGTCTGCCCAGCCCCCAGTGCCACTCCGCTGCTTCCAGGGATGCACGGAACATGGCCAGGGACGTGCAGAACACCTTCTGTGACATTGTGGCTGAGCTTGGAGCCATGGAGCACGCACAGGCCGTGGACTACATCAAGAAGCTGATGACCAAGGGCCGCTACTCCCTGGACGTGTGGAGCTAGGAGTGGCCACCAGCCGAGCTCCACCCCTCCCACCCCACAGACTTGCCGCCCCATGTAATCGCTTTCCTCACTCCCTCTGCCAGTCTCTGGGGTGGCTCCTGCTTGGCCTAGCCACGGCAGGCAGGCCTAGTGACAAAGACTGCTACAGGTCTGAGATGTGCCCTCCCGAACCCCCAGGCTGGCCTGGTCCACCTGCACTGGCAGCCCAGCCCCAGGGCACATGGCCAGGGTGACCAGACCCCCCCAGGCCCTTGGTGGCTGTACAGAAGGGGCTCTTCCTCTCAGCTGAGCTGGGGCCCCTCTACATGATTTTCAATGAATGTAAATAATTTTAAATAACCTCTGGCCCTTGGAATAAAGTTCTGTTTTCTGTACTTTCCTATGTTGCTTGAGCACATCTGAGGCTCCACCTGGAGCTTCCAAACCCTGACCTAAGACAGCAGCCCAGGCACCTCAGAACGTGGGCCATAGTGGGTGCACCAAGCCTGCCACCAGGCCCCTGCTTCCCCCGGGAGAACACATACCTCAAGCCACCTGTGAGTCATTTATTGAGGCCCCTGGCCCTGAGCTCTTTGCAGGCTAGGACACAGGCCTAGGACTTCCTTAGGGCCCACAGAGCCCACAAAACCCAGGGGAGAAGAGGAGACAGATGCGCACATGTAGGCACACACGCACACACACACTCACATCCCAAGTGCCTCCTGTCCCCTCCACAACACACGGGATGCAGAAGCCCCTTTGGGGCCAGCAGGGAGAGGCCCAGCCTCATTCTTTCTTGCTCCTGTGCTGCTGACTGTGCAATTTCTGGTGCACGACCCGCAGGGTGGTGAAGAAATTGCCAAGGAAGAGGAGGAGGAAGGGGAAGCCACACATGAGCACCTGTGGGAGGAAACAGGGTCAGGACTAGGCTGGGGCCCTTCCCCGGTCCTGCCCAGCTCCTCCCCAGGGCCTAGAAGGGGAAGCCACACATGAGCACCTGTGGGAGGAAACAGGGTCAGGACTAGGCTGGGGCCCTTCCCCGGTCCGGCCCAGCTCCTCCCCAGGGCCTACTCACCTGCCATTCCTTGCACTGAGGGTCCCGGGCCAGGTTAAACAGTGTCAGTGCGTTAAAAAGCTGCCAGAACTGAGGAGGAGAGGGAGTTTACCTAGTAAACCTGGTCCCTGGTCAGGCCCAAAGCCAGAGTGGGGGATGACAGGGAGCTAGACGGGGATGGACAGGTCCAACTTACGTGTCCAAAGAAAAGAAAAGGCAGCAGGAAGGTGAGGCCCCGCCACATCCAGGACTGGAAGCCCTCTGGAGGAGAAAGACCAGGGCTGAGTGACCAGGGCAGATCTGGACACTACTCTCCAGTCCAGAGGAAGAACACTGACTGTCCCAGCACCCCTAGGGACGGCCACGCCAGCTCACCCACAGTGAGGTCCATGGTGTGTCGCTTCACCAAGGCCCGCA